ATTAGTACGTCAAATGAGAAAAATGACTTTTTATCATTGAAACTCAAAAATTTAATAGTAATATCATTTAAAAAAAATTTTCGATTTTTTTTAAAGTACCTTTAAAAACACACATTTTTAAAAAAAACTTTTAAAATTGATGCATTTTTAAGGAAGTTATGAGCATTCAGAAACTACACTGCAAAAAGAAGTATCTTATTTTAAGATGTTTCAGTCGCCTTCTTAAAATGTTTTTTATAACTTGCTTCTAAGTTATCTAAAACAACTTAAAATGCATTAGTTTCTTAAGATATAAGATAGATAGGAAGATACTTTTGGTAACTTGCTTCCAATGTATCTTATAATAAGATTCTTCTTTTTGCAGTGTAAAAGTCATGAAAATTCTCCAATTTTCAGAATTCCATAACTCGAAAACGGCTAGCTAAAAGAATTTGAAAAAATTCATGGAAGCTAGTATCAATTAGTACTGAAAGAAAAAAAAATCTCAAAAAAATTTGAGATGCGTGGAAAACATTATATATATTAAAATTTATTTGAGTTGTCTAATTTTTTATCTCAAATTTCAGCCCTGGGCTGCGCAGTAGTTTTCTTAGAACTTTACAGTTGCGCAATAATTTTTGGCATGCATAAGTAAAAGGTTTTAATGATTCTAAATTATTAAAAACTCAAATTTAAAACAAAAAATTTTTTAAATAAACTTGTACAAGAATATGTACATTTTCTTGTACAGAGTTTTTCAATAGGGGTAAGTACTGGAATAATACTGGCAAAGTAATCATCCCGAGTTAAAATCTCACTTTTTGCTTCCTCGTGGAGAAAGCTTTGTACCCTATTGAAAAACCCTGTACAAGACCTTGTACAAGAAAATGTACATGCTCAGCTGCTGAACTTGTACCTGTTCTGGTAAGAACATGTACAAGATCTTGTACAATTTCGGCATCAGAATTTGGAACAAGTTCTTGTACAAGTAAATATATTTAATATTTGTATACGAGAAAATGTACATTTTCTTGTACATGTTCTTGTACAAGTTCATTAAAAAAAAATTTTTTTTGAAAAAAATTTGAGACTTTAATAATTTAGAATTATTAAAACCTTTTATTTAAGCATGCCAAAAATTATTGCGCAGCTGTAAAGTCCTAAGAAAACTACTGCGCAGCCTTTAAAGTTTTTAATTTTTATTAAACGAAGACATAAATGAACCTGTACGAGAAAATCTACGTGTTCTTGTACATTTTCTTGTATACAAATATTAAATGTATTTTTGTACAAGATCTTGCACAAGATCGTGTACAAGTTCTAATACAAGAACTTGTTCCAAATTCTAGTGCGGAAATTGTACAAGATCTTGTACATGTTCCTACCAGAACAGGTAAAAGTTCAGCTGCTGAACATGTACATTTTCTTGCACAAGATCTTGTACAGGGATTTTCAATAGGGTAGTCCTTTCGTTTATAAAAATTTTCAAAGTGTCGGAAACAAATTTTTCTCTATATAGAAACATGTTATATGAGATCCTGATCAATTGTCCGGATGTATGTATGTGTGTATGGATCCCTTTTTTGTTTAGAAGATAACTTTAACAGGTTTTAATGGATTTAGATAAAATTTGGTAGGCTTATTTATCATATTAATATCTGAAAACTGACCAAAGGATTTTAAAAAATACCAAAAAAAAATTTAATCGTCTTTTTTCCAAAAATTTTTTTTAATCGAAAAAATTTTTAAATAGAAAAATTTAAGGTTATATATAATAAAATCGTATTCCTTACATCAAGACAAATCCATCGGTATATATAAAGTATAGTTTTAATTTAAATTTAAAGAATTAATGAAAGTTAAAAAATATAAAATTTATATTTTTGCTGAAAAATTTTGTATTTATTTAAATTCAAGTTTAAATATAAAATAATTGTGTTCCTTTCATTGAAACGAATTATTATAATTGTAAATAATTATAAATTATATATTATTTTTCATTAATATTTAGAAATTTCGGCTAAAATGTGAATTTTTAATTTTTTAACTTCCATTAATTCTTTAAATTAAACTCAAATGTATAGGTACTTAAATGTTTATATTATCATATTATTTTTGTATGTTTTTTTCAATGTTAATGCTTTCTCCACGAGGAAGTACTTTATTTTTTCCTCTGTTATTAAAAATCTTCACATATTCCACGAGGATTTTGTACTTTAATTTTTTCGTTTCTTTTTTAATAATTCTCACGGAATTTACGAGGATTTTGTAGTTTAATTTTTTCGTTTCTTTTTTAATAATTCCCACGGAATCCACGAGGATTTTGTACTTTATTTTTTTCGTCTGTTATTAAAAATCTTCACATATTCCACGAGGATTTTGTACTTTAATTTTTTGTCTGTATTTCAAAAATCCGCAAGGAATTCCTAGAGGATTTTGAACTTTGAATTAAGTTCCCTGCACCTATAAATTCACGAGGATTTTTATCTTAAAAATATCTTATCTGTGTTTCACTGTCGTCAAAAAAATTCATAATGATTTTAACTTAAAGTTAAATATTTTTATTTCCTGATCGTTGAAAATATCCACGAGGACTTTTCAGTAAATATTTTTTGTCGGCATTTAATTACAAATTTCCTCGAGGTTTTCGAACTTTGAAATTCAATTTTTTCTCTTTGTACAAATCCTCGTGGATTCCTTGCGGATTTTTGAAATACAGACAAAAAAATTATAGTACAAAATCCACGTGAAATCTGTGAAGATTTTTAATAACAGACGAAAAAAATAAAGTACAAAATACTCGTGGATTCCTTGCGGATTTTTAAAATACAGACAAAAAAATTAGAGTACAAAATCCTCGTGGAAATCCTCGAGGAATTCCGTCAAAATTTGACACGAGGAAATCCTCGGGGAATTCCACGGGGATATTTTTGATGGGGCAGACCAAGGATTGATTTTAGAAAGAGAAACAAGTCGTTTTAGTCGATATTCATTACAACAAAAAAGTCACATTTTATAGAAATAAGTCGAAATAGTTGCATTCATTGAAAAAAGTTTATAAAAGTTGTGGAATCTGAGGCTTGTAATTTTTTGGTTCAAATTTAGATGTTTATTAAATATCCTATTATTCGAGTTTCAACATAAAAAAGGGGAAAAAGAGGGATTTTTTGAAATAGAGGAAAAGTAGGGGAAACCGAGGTTGCGTGGCGCAGGAGTGAAATTAATTAAATTATATGATTTAAAGTTTAAACAATATAAGACTTAACAAAATATAAGTATTGTACTGTAATTTTACAATAGTTATTGGTGTGGCAAGGGCGGAAAAGATTTCTAAACTTTGGGACCGTCCAAAAGTGAAAAACTAGTTTACGAAAGTTTCGCGAACTATTTTTTTCCGTCTAAAATTTTTTTTGTTTCTTAATAACAAATGTATAGATCTCAAAACTTATTATTTGAGCTCTATTCTAAAATTCATTTTTTAAAGATATATCACAAAAAAATGAAGAGGTTAAAAAATTACTCTGGAGTGCCAAAATCAGTTAGTCACAATAATTAATGAATATTAATTAAATTTTGTACAAACTTACAGTTCATCAAGTACATACTTTAACTTGAATGAAGAGAAAAATTAATTTAACTTAACACTTTTGAATAAACTCAAGTGCGCCAAGCAACCCCTTCGCCAAACACCCGGGCTCCTCTACTACCAACATGAAGTAGTATCAGAAACTGACTACAGTTTTTTTAAAATCGCCTACAGAATGGGGACTCCTTATACTACTTCGTAACTATACCAATATGAAAATATCATAATGTAGAACATAACCTATATTTTTAGTTTGTCTATTCAGGTTCATTTTGAGTAACGTGAAATTGTCTGTTAACTCATTTTGATGCAGATTTCATAATGAGATACAGCAAAAATGAGTTCAGTTTTTTTCTGTGAGATTTAGACCATTTGAGAATTAAGGCAGATAAAAATTAAGATAAATATAAATTATGTCAAATGATTACTCTATATAAGAATTAGATTAAATTAAGATGATAAGAAGTAGGTTAAATAAACATTAGGTTATACAAGAATTAGGTGAGATAAAGTTATTTAGTCTAAATAAGGTCGTGTAGGTGGCTCATTTTGAGTTGTAACAAAAATGAGACTAGTTTATTTCTGTGAAATAAAAGTTACGTTACACAAGATTAGTCCAAATGAGAGTTAGCTGAAATGACAATTAGGTCTATGATGATTAGGTCACAAGATGATTATGACAATCTTCGAATTCAGGACAATTTAAATTTGGAAAAAGTTCCTGTGCCTCCTAGTTAATTTCTATCAATTTCTCCTAGTCAATTTTATTAGAGAAACCCTTAAAACCAAAATATATATTAGAATTCTATTAACTATTTTTACTAATGTAGACTCCATTTAATATTAAGAGTAGGGATTTCATAAAATAATAATTTTTTGAAGAATTTCAATTCCGAGAAAGTCTTATTTTTTCATTTTCACACGACTTCTCACACAAAAATTAAAAAATCAGTAGAATAAAAAACTTTTTAGATTTTTTAAAATTATAATTTAAAAATCGGGTTGCGAATCCAATTAAAACGCTCGCAGAATAAAATGCAAAATGTTTCCATAACGATTGTTTTCTTTAAAAATTAAAAAAAATCCCTTATGGAGTTGTTGCAGAAAGGTCATTTATATATTAACGTCATTCGAATGGAAACGAAACCTGTTTTCTTATATATACACATACAATGTGGAATAAAAATTCTTCCATAGCGATGCCGCGCCGGTCCCGCGTGCAACTCATGCCGGCTTCTCACACTTGCATAGGTATTACATATATACGAAATAATAAACGAAAACGATGCATCGAATGCCACTCAATGTTGGAAATCACAGTGACGTCAAGACGATGTATGACGCATGCGTATTGGCATCAGCCGCGAAGGTGGCATATCACTTCAATTTCAATTCACTGGACTGACGAGTTTATTCTTCAAAGTTTTGTAGTCAGTAAGGAGTTCATCGGACTAGTTCTCGTGTCGAATGAGGTCCGCGAAACATCAATATATACGATACCGCTTCTCAACTTTGAAAATTATCTCCGCAGTAATCAATTGTTTTTTTTGTCTTGTCTTCAGACAACTTTGTTTCTGTCAAGTAGTGATATAGTGATTAGTACGTATATCTTTCAGAAAAATTGACTTTTCTATTGATATTTGGGAACCCCAAGAAACAATCTTAGATCTAGTTTTATCGCAAATAGTCGAAAAACAGTGTTGATAGTATTGAAACAATTTGAGGTGATTAAAAGTTTATTATTTCCATCTATTTATGGATAAAATTCTATTTTTTTAGATGAAAAAGAATTTGAATTTTCTTGTGGTAAAATAAACAAAATTCGAACTACAAAGAGTCAATGAAGTGCGTTGCTATTTACATGGACGTGAGGTTTACAAAAAAGTGTTTTCTACTCAATTCAAAGGTTGACAAGGCTTATCTAGAATCAAAAACGCATGCAAACAAGTGGACATTGGAAAATAATCGAAACTGTGTTTAATTTATGATGACCTTCGTATTGGAATACCATCAAAACTTTGGTAAAGTTGGCTCAAGGTAAACTAGCATTTGCTTTTTTTAAACTCATACTACATTGAATCTCATCCAATGCCAGATGTTAAGTTATGTAAATTATATTTTTAAAATTGAATTTCACTTCATTTCTCTCTCGGCGAGTCACTTTATAAAATTTCCAACAGAAAAATTTCAATTCTTTTGATTAGAACAAAAAATTGAATTAATTACACAAACTATTTAGTTAACGAATGTTTTATTCAATTATAAATTTGAATTTATTTTCGGAACAAAATATTCATCATCGAATATATTTTATTCCGATATTTTAAAAATTAAATAATTTATAATCAGAATTTTCGAGGCCACATAATAAATATTCTATAACTTACACGTGACTCTTGTTTAAAAAACATGAAGCGCTTTAGGCCAGGGGGCAAAGTTCAAAATGGTTTACAACGCATTTAAGCAATTCCAATATATTTGAGATTGGAAAGATCTTTTGTTTTGACTCACATAAAATAAGCTCAAATTTTCAATTACATAATAAGAGAATTATTGTAAATTCTGAAAATAATTGGAGAGGTGGAGCAAAAATTAATGAAGAAAAATGTATATTTATGACGCAAGATTTATTCTCAGATTAGTTTAATGAATACTGATTGACAAGAATAATTAATTTATCATTTTTTAATGAATTTCATATTTTATGCAATATTTAAATGAAATAACCAAATAATAATAAATAACTCTCAGTAATAACTATAATATATAATAATAATTAACAGTCACAAAATATAAATAAATAAAATTTATTCAAACTATAAATTGAATAAATAATAAAAAAAATCCATAAAATTTTGTGATTATTTTATTTTTAAATATTATAGTAAATAATTAATTTATCCACCTTACCTAAAATTATCGAAAAGCATTTAGTCTACCCTTGGGAATTTCATTTAAAAAGAATGTAGCTGCTTTTTAATGTACAGAAGTAATAGCAAAGATAATACATGAAAAAATTATAATGTATGTGTATATAAATGTGTTTTTCGTACACATTGTCCATTACATATATCTTTACAAGTGCCGGAAAAATAAGTACGTGAATTGAAATTTAAATAATATGGATTTTTTTAAAAAATTCTCTAAACGTGTAAGTTTTATCAAACAGAATGTTATTAAAAATATGACTTTAAATTGTTAGTTATCTCGTGTTATATATTTTGGAAGAAATATATATTGTATATATGAATATATGTTCCGACATTTATTAATTCTGCAAATGACTCAGAGAAGATATAAAAATACTCTATGCACACCAAAATTCACGAAAAAGTTACAAAGTGAAAATAGTTATTATTCCTAATATATTTATTAATATTTAAAATATTTAACTACTTACCTATAATTATAATATCTTGCGAAATAAATGGGAAACTCGCCAGAGAATAATTATTATTATAGGCACTGAAAAAAAAACTAGTAGGTTTTACTACTTTTTAACTACTCTGAGTAGTACAATAGGTCCTCAACTGAATTTAAACGGTTCTATTAACTATATAAAAATAGTTAAACATTTTAAACAGAATGACATTTTGTGATTGCATTAACTCCATTTAAAAGTGTTAAAACGACTCAAGATGTAAGTAGTGGATTTTACTACTGAAAGTGGTTCAATAGGCTTTAAGAACATTTTTTTTGTAGAATTAATAAATGTTTTGCAATTAAAACTACTACTTTAAGTAGTAGATGTTACTACTTAAAATAGGAAAATAAAATTATTTTTTATTTATAATGGTTTATTATCAGTAGAATTGACTTTTTCATCCTCTCTCCTATACTGACGCTTATTTTATGCCCTAACGATTATGTACCTAACAGAGAAAATTTCTAACCGACAGGAATTGAACCCTCGACCCTAACGCACGCTATCCGATTCCTTAACCGACTAACCACACGGAGAAAAATGGATATTAAGAATCCTACTTTCCAAAGATAATGAAAAATTTATAATATCTATATTTTAACACCTATTATATAAAATGTTTTCTTTCAATATCTAACATGTTGTAAAATAGAATATGTAGATATTGATGCCTATTGATTTATATACTAAGTTTTAGTATCTAGGACAATAAACGTTAAAATCGTGAGAATAACGTATTTCATGCGTCACTTCATGTGTACTGCAGTGTCTGCAAATTCGGCGTTAATTGTGATTTCAGTTCTGAATAAAAGTAAGTAGAATTTAAATTTTCTTCAAATCTAATCTCACATAATATATAGTGCGTACGCCGATCATTTTAACGCAAGGAACGTGAAACTAACCTGTTCCGTGTCTTTTTTAAATCTAATGTTAAAGAAAATGTCATTAAATTGACATATACTTTTCTTTTTAAATAAAAATAAATAAACTTCTATATTTATTTTGGTTTTATTATTTATGAAAATTAAAAAATCATTTTAATACTATATCTTCCCCAATTAGTCCAAAATTAAAATTTAGTATAATAATATTATGATTAAATTAAAATAAAATTTAAATTTAAAATAAATTTAATTTTAATTATAAATTTAATTTAATTTTTTTTAAATTTTAATTAAATATTAATTAATATTTATATTAATTAATTATTAATTAATATTAAATATTAATTTTAATTAATTATAAATTTAATATAAATTTAAAATAAAATTAAAATAAAATATTATGATTAAATAATAATTATATAATAATATGATTTACGTTAGTAAATAATGCCTTTATTTTTCAAGAGTTAGAAATTTAAAAAACTAATATTCTGTGTAATAAGTTTTAGTATCCTGGACATTACAGATTGATGTAGCCATTTTAATATATTTAGATACTAAATTTAAGTATCCAAGATGCTTGTCCTATAGTTCACTGTCAAATATAATGACCGGGTAATATATAGATATTAAATACCAATATCCATTTTTCTCCGTGCACGCACGCTCACTACGACAGTCTGCAAACTACTCGAAGACTACTTTCTGCTTGTCCAATTGGTAATTTAACTATTAAAAGTAGTTATTTTTACTACTATTATTAGTTGCTATAACTATCCTTTTTAAGTTTTGACTTGTAAATTTTTCATCTTTTAATTATATTATAAGTTGTTTAATTACATGGTGCAGTAAAATCTACTACTTAAAGTGATAGTTTTAATTCCAAAGTATTTTTTAATTCTACGAGAAAATGTTCTTAAAGCCTATTGAACCACTTTAAGTAGTAAAAGCTACTACTGAAAGTAGTAGTTTTAATCACAAAGGATTTGTTAATTCTACAACAAAAATGTTCTTAAAGCTGATTGTACCACTTTGAGTAGTAAAATCTACTACTTAAAGTAGTAGTTTTAATTACAGACGACTTGTTAATTCTACAACAAGAATTTTATTGAAGCCGAGAAGGAATTTACTAGTTAAAAACGTGTACACTTGACTACCGGTATTATACCTCATATTACCCTTATTACTAAGTATTACACGTTATTACAGAGTATTACACATTATTACAGAGATATTACGGAGTTTTTTGCGTTATTACAGTACTGTAATAACGCATTATTACCCGGTATTACACATTATTACACAAGTATTACAGGAAGAGTGTACACTTGACTACCTGAGTAAATTCCCCCTCGATTGAAGCCTATAAAATCATATAGAAATTAATAAAAAATTTACTGCTCAAAAAGCAGTTATATTAATTAAAGAAAATAATTCCTTTTACTACATTTCATATAACTGGTGAATAGTAGTTGGATTTACTATACTCTTCCACTTGCTTTTACTACCTTAAAAAAGTTAATTTTACTACCGACCTGTAGTTATACTTTAACTACATATTTACGTAAAATCAACTATTACTTATTAACTTCTTAAAAATAGTTACATTAACTACAAGAACATGATTAGATTAACTAAAAATGTAGTTATTTTAACTACTTTCTAGTCAACTACTCAATGGTAGTTGAATTTCTCGGCAACATTTTTTTCAGTGGGGGTGACCGGGTACTACATATACTGTAACAATTTTTATTTATTGGTCATCTTATATATGACTGAAAGTTATGAAGTAAATACGAGACGCATGATTAATGCCAAAAATTAATATGTAAGAATTTTTATTTAATAGAATCCCAGTGTGCACGTTATGTAACTGTTCTAGAATAAAAAGTGTAATTTGTTCTAGAAGTGTTACAATTTTTTTATAGAACAGTTCTGGAACTGTGTTCTAGACCTGTTCTGCAACAGTTGTTCTGCCTCTGTTCTATAAGAAAGATAACATTTGTTGTAAAACATTTGTGCTTGATTAGTTCTAGAATTTTTAAGTTAACGATGTTACTGCAGCGTTCTAGAACAGAGTTACTAAAATGTAACATAATAGATCTATCACTACATTTTAGATTTGTTCTCTATTTGTTCTGAAACAAATATGTAACTAACAGCTGTTATATAAATGTGGTGCTACTACAGTGGCTCAAGACTGTCAAAAATATAAATCTATAAAAATATTTAAAAACTCATTTTCATGAAATATTCCCTTAATATCACGGGGAGAATACTCCCAATATCACTGAGATATCATTATGAAGTGGATACTTTTATCTCCATTATATATCACAGGAATATTCCAAAAATATTCCAATGATATTTATGTGACATACCGTGCAATTTGGGCATTGATACTTTTTTTAAGTCAGGGAAATTTTACTCAAATAAATTACAAATCACAATTTTACTTTTATTAAACTGATACAAAAAAAAAATTTGTGATTCTAGAATATTTTTATTGACCGATTACAGAATTGTTATAGAATTAAAATTTTTAAAAATTTATTTTGTTATCAAATTGTTACCATTTCTAGAACTTGTTCTTTTTTGTTATAGAACAGTTACAGAACTGTTCTGTAACTTTGCACACTGGGATGGGGAAGACGGACCCATTTACGGAGAAGGCGAATGTTTCTAGCACGAGTCGAGCACTGAGATGAACGAAGCCGTAGCCCAAGCGC